TTATGGAAATGACACAAGCTTGTTTCCTGGCTTTACTTTGGGAAAATGCTAGCAACATTATAAAAATATTGCCTCGTTGCCTTATCTTCCCCCAAATGTACTGTTAAATAAAGAGTTTCCCCATGCAATCAGAGCATGCCATGTTTTCCTTCCTGGAGGGTGGCTCCAGCAGGCTGGTTTATGAGTACACACAGAGGAAAAGGCATCTTACCTATAATTAAAATGTGCAACTATGAAATGTTTTAAAAATCCAATTGGGAAACTCTGATAGTTTGACCATGTGTAAGGGCAGCTCTGATTTCTCCTGCTTGTGGATGTGTTTTAAGGAGGGGCAGAGACTCACGTGCCTCAGGAGCCCCTGCTCTACCTGCCACCTGCGCTTCCCTTGGACCAGCTCCCACTGGTGAGGGAACAAGCCAGGGAGCTGAGAAAACGTGCAGATCAAATCACTGGGCTGCTGCTGGTGATCCCGGAGGAATCAAAAAACAGGAAAGATGTGAGATGACTTGAGATATTCCTGCAAAGACAAGATGATTTCCCAAACTCAACTTGAATGAGTTGAAGTTCTTGCTGCTTGCCGGGTGGATTTTGAGGGCACAGAGGAGGTCAGAGCCCATGAACACGTAGTAATCCCAGTCCACTCGGGTATGTGCTTTTTCTCTGTTCGGCTGCACAGGTTTCAGGATGGCAGCTGTAGATGCTAAGACTCACTCGGGGTTGAAGGTGGGCAAGGGAGTGTGGCTGAAGGACCAGGGACGAGGGAATGGAGCGTGCCCACGAAAGTGGTTGAAGCACGTGACGCAGGGCCAGGCTAGGAGGGGAGGGACAGGAGACAGGAGGCATCTGCTTCAGAGTCTGAGGGACAGGAGACTGGGTACAAAGGGGGCAGAAAGGAGGCCGCCTTCCTGATCCACAGAGGCTGTCCGGAACCCGGGCCACGGTGCTGGGGCCCCACACCGCTCCTGCTGCACTTCGATCTGTAGTTTATGACTTCACTTTTAAAAGCCTCGGACTTGGGGGGGAGGGAGGGTAAGGGCATCATACGTTACCTAATCATCTGTACCCCCATAACATGCTGAAAAAAAAAAAAAGCCTATTTGGGTCGCAATCTAAGAGGCAACATTAACAAAAGAAATAAGGTATGTGCTTAGCATAGCAAATTTGAAAAGACTGAGGAGAAGGGGAGGGAGTTTACCCAGGGAGCACCCTGGGTTTTCCCAAATAGTGTAATCTTTGTCAGTGCCTATTTTACAGGGGAAAACACAGATAACCAAAGTGAACCTCAACTTTCCGACCCGGTACGGACTCACCCTGACCTAAACCCTCCTTGCTTCCCGCCAGAATCTCTGCTCTGAATTGCAGCCTCAGGCCTACTGGTTAGGCCATGGGGTTCCTCTCTCGTATCTTCGGTTATTCATTTCACAGCTCCTTCCACACACACGTAACCGTGCCCGAGTGCCCCACACCACAGTGTGCGCAACGCTCACCACTCGCCCACCCAGCCTCTCCTTCCTCCGGGCCAGGCTTCCCACACGAGATCTCAGTTGCTCATTTCCCACTGACTCCTCCACCTACTACAGTCTGGCTCATCGCCCACCACTCTTCCTAAACTGCTGCTTTTTACCATCACCAGTTACGAATGCCAAATCCTGTGAAGACCTGGCAGCGTTATCTCTGAACCTTTCTGCCGCCTTTAACACCACTCACTAGTCCCTCTCCTTTGAGAATCCACAGGCCCCTGCTTTCCCTCTGGTCTGCTGCTCTTACGAACTCTGATTCCTTTCATGTGACACTCCCGCCTCCCCTAGTTAGAATTCCTTGGTGGTTCCACTGCCTTTGGAATCTGAGCATAGCTGAAGTTTACACACCCCCCTCTTTGCACGGTCCATTCTCCAACTGCTTCATTCTTTTATTTTTTAAAAATTCTAAAAATTCTGCTACCATAAAGACATGTCTACAGCATCAGCTGTAATACACAAACTGGAAAACAGTAAGCCATCAGTAGGCTAATGTTCAACATTAGACACGCAATTGGGTAAATTACATGTTGGAATATTATGACGCCATTAAAAATCATGCTTACATTCATGATACAATGGCAAGCATAAAGAGAATACAGAATTGCTTGAACAGTACACTCTCGACTACGTAAAGAAAAAAAAAATCATAGCGAGACAACAAAGAAACATGCCTGAGTGTGAATAATGCCTCCAGAGTGGTCTTCCCCCCTCCTTCATAACTTTTCTGTGCTTTTAAATATTTCTATAAGGAGCTTTGATATAAGGAAACTTTAATAACAAAGGAGAATAAAAACAAATGGTGTTCTGAGACTAAGGAATATAAAACAGATCATCGCAGTTTTCTAATTTTCGCATCTTCCTTTTTCGTACATTTGTGTAATTCTTTATTCACCAAGTACCTCCGTGCGTAGTACTTAGCATGGTCTTCCTCAACAACTCTGAAGCGCGCAGAGGCAATGGGAGTAAACACCTTCCCACATCAGGAAGGCAAGGTTCCTAGGCAAAGTCACAGGATGAATTAGTAAATCCAGCAGCCCAGGACTGGAATCCATGTAGCGTGTTTCCCACTGCTGTTGAAACATATTAACACAAATTTCGTAGTTCACAGTTCTGCAGATCAGAACTGCAACACTGGTCTCACTGGGCTAATGCATTCCTTCTGGAAACCCAGGGAGGATTCCTTTCCAGGCAGGCCCATTCAGGTTGGCAGCATGCAGTTCCATGTGGCTCCAGGACGGAGGACGCCATGTCCTCGCTGACTTTCAGCTGGGGTGTTTCTCAGCTCCCACAGTCCCTGGCTCACGGCCCCCTTTGTCTTCAGAGCCAGCAATGGCAGGCTGGGGACTGTTCCCACGCCGTCTTGCTGACCTCCCTCTGCCTCAGCCCTCCTGCCTTCCCCTTTGCTTTGAAGGGATCTTCTGATGACACTGGGCCCACCTGGCTAATCACCCTATTTGAAGGGCAGTTGATTAGTAAATTTAATGAAATCTGAAACGTCCCTCGAAGCAGTATACAGAAGCAGTATACAGTAAGTCGTCACTTAACGTCATGGACAGGTTCTTAGAAACTGACTTTTGGCCGGGCGCGGTGGCTCACGCCTGTAATTCTAGCACCCTGGGAGGCTGAGGCGGGCGGATCGTTTGAGCTCAGGAGTTCAAGACCAGCCTGAGCAAGAGCGAGACCCCGTCTCTGCCAAAAATAGAAATTAATTGGACAGCTAAAAATATATAGAAAAACTTAGCCGGGCATGGTGGCGCATGCCTGTAGTCCCAGCTACTCGGGAGGCTGAGGCAGGAGGATCGCTTGAGCCCAGGAGTTTGAGGTTGCTGTGAGCTAGGCTGAAGCCACGGCACTGTAGCCTGGGCAAAACAGTGAGACTCTGTCTCAAAAAAAAAAAAAAGAAAGAAACTTTTACGTGAAAATGTATAACAAAACCAAAAAAAAAAAAAAAAAAACAGGCCCTCAAATAACATCATTTTTTTCAACATTGTTTCATTTTAACAATGAAGGAAAAAATTGGTTTCCTTATGCGTCATTTCACTTAAAGTCGCAGTTTCCAAGAACTTATTGGTGACGTTGATACAGGAAAGTGGACTTCAAAACTGGCGTCTGTCCAGAAGGCCAAGTGGGTTCTTGGCTTCCTGCAGGAAAGAATTCAAGAGCAGGCTGACAGAGTAAAGCCAAACCAAGTTTACTGAATTAACAAAGAAATACAAGGAAAGGTACCCCATAGGCAGACAGCAGCCCATTGTAAGTTTCTGGGGTCTTCTTTTATACTTTTTTAAAAATTCTATGTTAAACACAGGATTATTCATAAGATGTCTTGGAAAGGGGTGGGGAATCCCCGAACCGAGGGTCCCCCCACTTTCTAAACCATACAGGGTAACTTCCAGGCACTGCCATGGCCTTTGTAAACTGTCATGGCATCAGGGGCAGTTTCTTTTAGCATGCTAATGAATTATTACTGCATAAAATGAGCAGTGAGGGTAACCAGCGGTCACTTTCATCACCATCTTGGTTCTAGCTGGTCTTGGCCAGTTTCTCCACCGCCTCCTGTTTTATCAGAGACCTCGGTTCAGGTCTCATGACTCTCCTTACCGAGCAGGGCCTGCTGGTCCCCTATCTCAACATTAAGTGAGGACTTACTGTACCTAGATTAGTGCTGGACTGAATAACCAGGGAACGGAGATGGGAGGGGCATTTTTAGAGTTCTGCGTGCCACACGTCTTTTGACGCTGAGTTCGTGCTGTCACTCCATTACTCTGAAAGGTATGGTATGTTCCGTCTTTCATCTACCTTGTAAAAATGTGATCACTGGTTTTTCACTTGTATCTTCTGTTAAATACAATAGTTCCACTAAGCAAATGGGTTCCAAAGCAATTCACAAAGTTAGTAACACATTAATAAAACAGTGTGGAGACTGTGCCTATGTAATTTTTCACTCCATAAATCAATGTACACAACTCTACGAAGAACTTGAAATAAAATGAGGAAACTGAAACAGTCCATTAGAGGTTCCAGGTAAAAGGTATAAGTAGGCTTCTATCACCATGATTTCTAAGATCTTTTTTTTAAAAAAACCTTAGTTTTATATCCAAAAACACCAAACTCGGCTGGGCTCAGTGGCTCACACCTGTAATCCCAACACTCTGGGAGGCCAAGGCAGGAGGATCACGTGAGGCCAGGACTTCATGACTAGCCTGGACAACATAGCAAGACCCCATTTCAACAACAAAAAAACCCAAAACAAAACATAAAAAAACAACCACGCTCATGAATTGCAAAACAGACAGTTTTCTGTAAGCAAAGAAATACTTCCTACATTTGATCACTTGGCTGCTAAAGAAATCTTATTGTAGTACATACATTTGCATGAGGCAGTTTGTTATTTTTCGGCTGGGTTAGATATCCCAGTAGCTTCTGACCTTTAAATAAGTCTGTTTATGACATCAAAAATGAAAACCAGTGAACAGCTTAGAGTCAAAACGTTCAATTTATTACAATTGTTTTTAAAGTCAGCTATGATCTTGACAAATGTTATATGGGTAAGTCTATAGCAAATCTCTGATTTCTGAGATACAAAAGACAATAAATATAGATTCAAATTCAGACTAAAAACAAGATTCTAAATCTAATTACTGGTAGTGTAGCTTAGTTTCAATATTTCAAATATATGTATAATTCTTAAGATGCTACAAGAACTCATACGATAAAGTTATTGCTCACTGACGACCAGCTGACAGTTCTTCACTGATAATATACAAGTATATGGCGCCATCCAGCCTTCACGCAGGCCCCGAGGGCCTGCTGGTGCTGGGGACAATCGGAAATGGAGCCACGATGGCACTCGTCCTTCCTGGCAGGAGGACTGGCATAGAAGCAGTTACTGAAAATGCCCACTAAGCAGGACATAAATCTGACTTCCCAACAGTCCAATAAATGGTCCTATTTCTTGTAGAAAACAGGATTGTCACTGTGTGTTTTTCTGAGTGCTACATGGACACCTTTGCACCAACACAGTGTGGTGTGCTTACTTGTAAGCTCCATTTCATCGTGCTGAATGTTCTCTAACAGTGAATTTTCAATCCTTCATTTTTTTCCAGAGACATTCTTCATTGCTTTGAAGTTACACTGTCATTAAAATAAGTCTTTTAAAATTTTTGCCAAAAACAAGTGGATTGCTTCTTCTCAGTGATAACAGAGATTAATTCTTCATTGACTAAAATTCCATGAAGTTTCAGGCCAAGCTCCTTTGTCTTGGTTTAATTCTTGGGTATAGCTGTAAGAGAGTTAAAAAATGTTTACATACTATACAGATGTGTGGGAGTGTAACAAATTTTCAAGAAATAATGGAGGGGTTGGGGATGGATGTCACAGGAAGCAAATCAAACTAAGAAAAGCACTGTTTCTGGCATGTGAAGCACCTGCAGCTGCCCAAGGACACAAAGATCCACGTTTAGCAACCTTCTCATCAGCCAGACTGCAAAGGACAATCAAAGATCACAGGGTCCATCACCTGTGACAATTCCATGGAGCAATGATATAAAAATGCACAATAGTTCCAGGCATTAAATCAATTTGTACAGCTTGCTGAACTATCAATCACATCTAACAAGGAAGACAAAGGTGACTTGCAATATGCTACATGCCCCAGCATTCTGAGCTTCTGTTAGGAGGGAAGAAAGAGACTGAAGTCTGTTTGAACTTTACTCACAATGAATGGAACATTGTGTCACGGGACTTGAGACTGTCAGTCTACAAATATAAGGAAGGATAGGTGGAGTTTTTTCCTTTGGAATTTTGTAGTTCTGTGTTTTCGCTAACAAGAGACAGGGTGGGGGAAGAGTGTTAGTGAAGGCTGCAAGGTCTCCACTCTGGAAGCCGGGAGCAAGTCAAACTAGTAATTCAACTGCCAATTGGAACAAAAACCCTCCTTCCCTCCTCCCTTTGACGAAAGAGAAAAAAAGGTTTACTGAAAGAAATTAGAGTCAGACCTCCAAAAAAAAAGTGAAAAACCAAAAGTGAAAAACCTCCAAAAGTGAAAAACTACTGGTGGATCAAATAAAAGATTATTTTTCTATCTGACAAAAGATATTTAGCCAATGCAATTTTTTAGACTTATATTTGAGCCCAGACTAAAAATTCAACATCTATGCACTTTCCTGTTTTGGGGGAAAAACATCAAAAGAAACCCAAAAAAGTTACATAGGGGAGACTTCTAACCAGAAAAGATTTCCAAAGGACTAAGAATATCTAAATTTAGGACCACAATGGAAATTTTCAGGCCAGTCTGTTCATTTCGGAACCCTCTGAGAGCCGTACACACAAGACAGAACTCAGAGTCTCTGACCAGCTGCTTCTACACTTGGGAACAAATAATTCTCCCCGTTTCATTAACCACAAGACCTCTTTGAAATTTAAATAATTCAAGAGATCTACTATACAACATGGTGACTACAGTTATGTATACTTGAAAGTTGCTAAGAAATCATTTTAATGTTCTCACCACAAAAAAACAAGTATGTGAGGTAACACATGCCTTAATTAGCTTGATTTAGCCATTCCACAAGCATACATATTTCAAAACATCATGTTATATACCACAAATATATACAGTTTTTGTCAATTAAAAAAAAGAAAATTAAAATAAAAGGCTCAAATAAGCAATTAGTTCTAAGAAGGTCGAGCCTTTTCCCAGATGAGACTAACAAGTGACAGTGCTCGCTGACTGGGGACGTTAGGCCACACATGCGACTGTACTTCTCTGCGCTAGGGACTCTGCAGGAGCAAACGGCAGTACATGAAAGAGAACCACCGTTATGTTTCTACTTTCCTCTGGTATCTGAAAGCTTTTTTTAAAAAACGGTTTCCATACACTAATTTTTTTCACTTTCATTATTCTTTATAAATTAAATTATGATCACACAGTGAACACTGTCTAAACCCCAAATGACTATGTCACAGTAAGCTTTGCTATCAGGAAGGCAGCAGGCACGATGCACGAAGTCACTGATGCTGCACGAGGGACACGACAGCAGCAGCAGCAGGGAGGGGAGGGAGGGGGGACGCAGCACTGCAGTCGCCTGAGGGAAGCTGCAGAAAGCAGCGGCTCACTCACAGGCAGGATCCCGCTCACCGCCCAGATGCCAGCGTAGAAGCTCATGTCTGTTTTCCGTCTGACACTTGACGAGAATATCAAGAATGGTATCTGCCATTTGCTCTAGGGAGACCCCTGTGCTACCCTCACAACAATCGCAGGAGGCAGGACGCTCAGGAGGCAGGACGCTCCGGCGTCCGGCCTTCCCTCTGCAGCGCGGCTGCCTGGACAAGAAGCGCCGCAGGCAGCTCTGAAGTGACCGGGAAGCCACGGAAACACGTGCACCCCCTATAGCACCAGGCTCAGCCTTCCCTCAAGCCCTTCCTCACCAAAAGCAGATTTTGCAAGCAGTTTTAACTTACACTTTTATCTCAATCTCTCAGCTATCCTATAATTTCTCTCACTCCCTTTCCCACGCCCAACACAAGCGTGTGCGCCTACAACTGCACGGGAGAATAGCTCAGTCTGTGAAAGGGCTTACACAAAGTCCCGGAACTCGGTTTTTGCAGCTTTCTCTCCTGTCTGACCATACTCCAGCCTAAGGGTGGGAAACCTGCAGCCCTGGGGCCACATGTGGCCTTCTGGGTCCTTGAGTGCAGCCTTTTGACTGAATCCAAATTTTACCCAGAAAAAATCCTTTTACTAAAGAGATTTGTTCTGTGAAGTTCGGTTTTGGTCGAGGGGCCACACTTGGGGACGTGGAGGGCCACATGTGGCCTTGAGGCCACAGGTCAGATTTTATTTTCTTGGTTTTTATGAAATTTAAATAGTAGAGAAAAAAAACAATGAATCTTGTCCTTCATGCCCTGTTCAAGTTCTCTATTAGATTTTCAAATCCTGATCATATTATCCAGTTATCTCTATAGTCTGTTTATAAATGCGGGCAGGACCCCTGACCTCTAGGAGCTGGCGAACACATAAATAGGCTATTGAATCACTGAAAGTGTGGCTTCAAACCTAAATCCAAGACTACCAAAATTTTTAAATTCTACGTCTTAGTAACAAAGGGCAGTAGGTACACTGTATCCATAACACACAGCAGCTTTTGCAAAGCCCCTTTCTGACGCACATAAAAACATCAAAAGCACTGGCGTAACTTACTCCCAGCAAGTTGCGTGGAACATATCCCTCCTTGTCATTAAGGCGTGCCCACCACCATTCAATTTCATCTTCGTCTTCCCTGCGGACGACTGTCATGCAGTCTCCTTCTTTCATGGGCAGCTCATCGTCATTCTGAGGTTCATAATCCCAAAGTGCGTAGATGACTCCTTTATTCATTATGCCCATTTTCTCCTGAACTCCTACAATCATGACAGTAAGATTCAGCACAGAATATGTAACTTTTAGCTACAGGAAACACAATGGGAAGCCATGGGTACAGGACGGAATGTTACAACTACATTAAACATCCAACAACTCAATCTCCCAGGTGGGGGTAGGGTGTAGTGGAAGGTCAACAGTGTACAGGGAACACACAAAAGACACATTGAGCTTTGCTATCATCTCTAACGCCGCTCCAAAATCTAGCGCCGTATTAGCATCTCTCAAAACTGGTCTCATTCGGAGTACAAAAACTTCTGCAAGCCCAGGATCTAAAAAAAGAACTGTTTGAGCCTAGGATATTAAAAAAGTCAATGACGTGCCTGTTGAATTTCACCCTACTAAGTGTAACGACTAAGGAACTCTAAACACATTACTTCATTCTTTACCTAAAATTCAGAGCAGATGGGAAAAAAGATCAGAAGTATTGTATCTATTAAAGTGGTTTCTATCAATTTCCAAATGGGGGAAGATGAAAAAAAATTATGAAGTATGTTAGAATGCAAAAATTTGGCATTTTAGACATTACATAAAAGTCTAGGCCGGGTGCGGTGGCTCACGCCTGTAATCCTGGCTCTCTGGGAGGCCGAGGCGGGTGGATTGTTTGAGCTCAGGAGTTCGAAACCAGCCTGAGCAAGAGCGAGACCCCGTCTCTACTAGAAATAGAAAGAGATTAGTTGGACTGAAAGGCAGGAATTGATAGTAGGAGAATATACTTTGTTTTGTGTGGAACATAAACTGTTTTAGATTAGAAAAATGTGTTCTCTTTGATTTTAACTAATGCCATTTGCTTCTGTAACCGTGCTTGCTTTTAGTTGTTAGTCAAATATAGTTAATCAAAAAAAACAGGGCAGGAGTAACTCCATGACAGGCTGAACTTCCTAGAGTAGGCCTAAGTCTCAGTCCCCCTCCCCAAACGCAGATCAGAACTGGCGCCGGCGCGAAAATTGAAAATCCTGAGGCTTGGGACCACCCAATCAGGGGTCAAAACAATCCTCCACTTTTAAAGGAACCAATGGACAAAGGGGGAAAGGGGATGGTGGGCTCAGCGTATCGTATGCCACCGGGGTGTCATGCGCAACCAGAAGTATAAAAGCTTCACTTTTACCCCGGGGCGGGGTCCTGGTTCCTAGGGAGGCCACTGCGCTGGTGCTCTGGGACTTGGACCCTAGCTCGAGCTAGCAAATAAACTCCTTTGCCATTTGCATCCTCGGTGACTCTGCTTCTCTGTTCCTGGGGCCGAGGGGCACCGGTTCTTACAGGACAACTAAAAATATATAGAAAAAACTGACTAGGCATGGTGGCGCATGCCTGTAGTCCCAGCTACTTGGGAGACTGAGGCAGGAGGATCGCTTGAGCCCAGGAGTTTGAGGTTGCTGTGAGCTAGGCTGATGCCACGGCACTCTAGCCCGGGCAACACAGTGAGACTCTGTCGCAAAAAAAAAAAAAAAAAAAGTCTATATACAACACAGTCAACTCTAAAATAAGGAGAATCAGAATTCTAAAAGATGTTGAAATCCACAAACTGGGGAGGGGAAAATCCTCAAAAGTCCACTTTCACCAGAGTTAATGAAAGATTTACAAATTAACTACTTTAAATTTCACGTTTCCCCATTTATACCTTCCTATCCTAAAGGGCAATGCTAATAAGTAACAGTCGTCACCTGGCAGGCAAAAGGAAAAAAAGCAGAGAAGGAAAGGAATCAGACAATAAAGTTCTCAGTAATTCAGAGTTCATTATTGTCTTCACCTTTATGATTTTACAAAAGCCAGGAAAATATCTGCTTGCTTTTGAATAGTCAGATTTTTCAACTTATGTGAGCACTAAACTATTAATTATGAACTTATTATTTCTATACTAATTAATGTGACACAGCACGCAGTACATCTCTCTCACTCTGGGAATAACTGAAACAAGAAATGAAACTGCCTTTTCCAAAAGAAAGCTCTACCAATCTAAAGGGTCAGGTAAATGTCCTGTTTAAATAAGACATGCAAAGCACAACAGATTTACAAGGATAATACAACTTGATGTAACTATAATTCCACAAAGTTTTAAAGCGGCCACACGTACTATCTGTTTGAGATGGGAACAGAGAAGGGGATAGGAGAGAGATTCTGGATATTCTAGTACACTCAAAGTAACAGTTCAAGTCCCAGTTTCCAAGAAATCATTAGGAATGGAAGAAAATGTCTCACTACTTTGCTATTTACTAGATTAAGAGCTACAAATTACTCTTCTAAAAGTTTTTTGAGGCCGAGCGCGGTGGCTCATGCCTGTAATCCTAGCTCTCTGGGAGGCTGAGGTGGGCGGATTGTTTCAACTCAGGAGTTCGAGACCAGCCTGAGGAAGAGCTAGACCCCGTCTCTATTAAAATAGAAAGAAATTAATTGGACAACTAGAAATATATAGAAAAAATTAGTCAGGCATGGTGGCGCATGCCTGTAGTCCCAGCTACTCGGGAGGCTGAGGCAGGAGGATCCCTCGAGCCCAGGAGTTTGAGGTTGCTGTGAGCTAGGCTGACGCCACGGCACTCTACCCCAGGCAACACAGTGAGACTCTGTCTCAAAAAAAAAAAAAAAAAAGTTTTTTGAGGGGCCTAAAAATATGCTCAATATTACTGGTAATTTGGGAAATGCAAACTAAAGCCATAATGAGGTATCATTCCAAATCCACCAAGAGTCACAGGAACTCCACTAAATGTGTACCACTGTGACCTGGCGATTCTACTTGTAGATACACACCTGAAGACAAGTACAAAAATGTTCACAGGAGTGCAGAGGGAAGGTGAGAAGGCAGGCAGGAGGGAAGGAAGAAAAGAAGGAGGAAGAAAAGAAAGGGAACAGTTCACATGTCCTTCAAAAGTAGAATGAAAAGAAAAATTGGAGTATAGTCATCAAATGGTACAGTACAGCACAGTGAAAATAAACTGTAGCTACACCCAACACAAGTGAATCTCAAAAACAATGCTGACTGAAAAAAGCAGGCGATATATTAATGTACATTAAGATATCATATTAACTTTAAAATATGTTAAATATCCTACGGTTTGGAGTTCAAAACAAAAAAGTAATCATAAATATCAACAATAAAAACTAACAGTTGACAGAGATGAAGAGGGAACCTCAGGTTTGTGGTTCTCACTCTGACCCCCTCCCTTCTCACCTAAAGCTTGCAAACAGGCACAGAGACGGGAAAACCGTCAGACACAGAGGGCAGAGGATGTGTCTCTAACTTTAGGGGTCTTTCAACCAACTGGCAAAGGAGTTTCTGAGAGCTTGAGCAGTATGGAGTTCTGGGACCTCCTGAACTGACTCTGTCTTCCCTCCTCCCCCAATTCCTGTCAGAGCAAACTGAAGAGAAAAATTAACCTCAATCTCTAAGCCTTGCAAGTTAAAAACACCAGCCAACATATATCCACTTAAAACTTCAAATCCGTTTTTCTCTAAGAATATATCTAACATTAGCAATCAAAATCATAAACTCAACATCAAGAAAACAAAAGAGCAAAAAAAATTAGCTCCAAAATATGTGCTACTTTTATTTTGCTTTATGACAAGTTTGATTTCCTGGAAAGCTTGGACCCTAATTCTTCATTTCTTTTGATCATCTTGGAAGGAGGGGATTCTGCTTACTTATCTGCAAAGATACGCCATCACCGGGTAAGTGCTAAAGCCTTAACAGAGCATCTTTTGATGGTCAGAAGCCATTAACCCCAGTAAGGCAGCCACCGCAACTGTCTTTTGTAGCTGAAGGCAGCCCTGACAATAGCTGTTTCTAGGCACACAAACAGAAGCCGTATTATTATCTGTGACCAAGGCTGTCCTATTTTCAATGCCCAGGACTATGTATAACACAAAAGATTTTTTCCAAATAATAAAAATACTTACCAAATTATATCCTAAAGATACAGGATAAATGAATGCAGTAATTAACACGTTCACTTCTACTTGTCACGTACCATAAAGAAACTGAGAGCACTGAGTGTAGCCCTCCTCCATCTCCTCACACTTATCTGCAGCAGTCTGCATGTCACTATAGGTCATGGCAAACACAGCGGCTCCTGACTCCACCAAAAACTTGCACACCTGGACGTTGTTACACGAGGCAGCGCAGTGCAGCGGAGTCCTGCGAGGCAAGACACAGCAAGGGCGAGACATGTTTCCCAAACTGCATGACATCTGCTGCAAGAAGGTATCTGTGAAGAACGTTCTTGAGTCTCTCACCTATCAATACTAAGCCCTTTCTTATGAAAACCTCTTAAACGGTTTTTTGAAACCAGTTCAACACGGATGAGTGAACCCATCAAAGAATTTTACAGCCACAAATGAAAATGTCACAGAGTAATGGCCCACACTGGGGCTAGGAGCTTGGTGAAGGGTGAAAAGAATCAAGGATAAGAATAAAAAGAAATGAAATTTGTATAATAATTTAACAAAAACAGGATAAAAATCCATTTAGTTCTATGTTCTAGAGCACCTAGCCTCATTATTTCTGCCAGAGTAGAGGACTTAACAGTCCTTAAATTACATGACTTCACTCAAAACATGTACCTTAAAATACCCCTTTATCATCACCAATGTTGAAGGAATTAACTTGTACATATGAACTACCATTGTATGTTTAAAACCCAAGTTCAATTATAACTGAAAAAATATGTCAAATCAATTCAGACCAGAAAAGTGACTGCAGAATACACACATTTCAATCTATTTTGGGTCACTGGTTAGCGGGAACCTATTAATGCTATTAAAGAGAATCTCCTCCAGCATCTCAAAGGTCTCATGGTACATTATAAATGACCCCAGACTAAAAGTAAAGGTGTAAGAAGATCCAGCAGCACCGCCCAAACTCAGAAGCTGAGTTGGAGAATGTCAATCAGGCTCTGAAATACTCAAGATTTATTCCTTTAACTCTTTCCTTTCCTCTTCATTTTATTCCCCTTGGGTACAGCCTTTAAAAAAAACATTTTTATTATTCCTCATCTCCCATTCCAGAACACTATTATTAATGGTCTGGTGACTATTCCTACAGATTTTTCACTGCATAGTTTTTAATAATAAACAATTATAGGGCCCAGGCGCGGTGGCTCACACCTGTAATCTTAGCACTCAGCGGGGCCGAGGCGGGCAGAATATTTGAGCTGAGGAGTTTGAGACCAGCCTGAACAACAGTGAGACCCCGTCTCTACTAAAAAAATAGAAAAAAATTAGCTGGATAACTAAAAATATACATATATTAAAAAACATTAGCCGGGCATGGTGGCGCATGCCTGTAGTCCCAGCTACTCGGGAGGCTGAGGCAGAAGGATTGCTTGAGCCCA